ACTGGATTTTAGCAATATCCGGCCGGATAGTCAGATAACCATATAACAGCCGAGTACCCGACACATCACTAATTTAAATTCAAAATTTTTTCAATCTCAAATATCTCGAAAGCTAGAGCTAATCTAGAAACTAAGAAATGGTCAGCTTAGGCCAAAGCTTGTCGAACAGACTAAAATAGTAGGTACTAAAATTCTTCGTTATTCCTAACTTTAATCTCAAGTTTGCCACTCTGTATATCCCTGCTAAAGCGCCAAAATTTATGCAACGTTATTGAAGGCTTTCATGCAAACTACACACACGCACACATGTATGCACCCAGCTAGCAAAAAATGCGTAAATGGGTCCGAAAACGGGAAAAAATGTGGATGGATGTATTGCAGATTTTTGTTCATTTACCGATTTCATTTCCGCAAACTTTTCCCACTAAAGTTTGCGGCAGAAACGCACGACTGGAAATGTATTGAAAATGGTTGTAAAACGGCAACGCTTACAGATATTTTCCTGAAATTTTTCTGATTGAATATTTCGTTTCATAGACTTTCCTTCTACACTTCGCTGAAGCTTTTTCATAATTCGGAAAATAAAAATAGTTTCTTAAAGAACTTTTTGATAAAAGTCCCCTCAGATAACAAATTAGATTAAGCTTAAAAAATCTGCATAAAAATATTTAAAAATCTTTTCAACGGAATCGTAAAAATGAGATTTTTTATGCTGTTTTTTTACTTTTTTCAAAGATTGGTTTACGAAAAACTTGAATAACTGCGCCAAAAATGTTCTGATGTAGACTTATGGGATCTCAGTAGAAAGGTATTTTCACACTGTTTTTATTTCTGGCCAAAAAAAATTACATTCGTGTCCCATCTTGTTTTTTCGAATACCAACACATCTTAATTCAACTTTGAATGACGTTCGTTCATCCTACCTTTCTCTTCCATCCTTTGAATGAGTTTATTAGCAAAGAAATAAAAAGGGTGAGAAAATACCTTTACACCGACACCTCTTAAGTCTAAATCAGAAGAGTTTAGGCTCAGTTATTCAAGTTTTTCTTATACCAATCTTTGAAAAAAAAGTTAAAAAAAAACATCAAAAATTTCATCATTACGATTCCGTTCAAATTTTTTTTTAAATATTTTTATGCAAATTTTTTAAGCTTAAACCGTTTTGTCATTTGAGAGGTTTTTTTCAAAAAAAAAAATTTAAGAAACTATTTTTATTCATAAAAACCTGCATTCTTGGAGGTATTTTGAAATTTGTCCAGCTCACTTAAATCTTAATATTTTTTCGAAATATTTTGGTGGACTTCTTAAAATATAATAGATTTTATAATTCCAATGGAAAAATAGTACCGATTTTTTTTTTTTGTATGGGGAGTGGTGCAGTCTAATGTACATATATGTAAATCTACTTGGATGTATAGCTGAATGCAAGTATGTAAATATTGCACATTTCAAACTTATTTGGGTCAGGAAATTTCCCAAAATGTTTACTAGTTATTTACATGTGAACAGTTCCTAACTCAGTGAACCATCAATTTACATAAAAGCGAATTATGTACATACATCTTTATATTTGATGCTCAATAAGTTGTAAAAAATATATTCAAAAACGTGTAAAACAAATTTCAACAGAATTTTCATATGTATGTATACAAAAATGGTCAGATCAATCTTTAAACACTGCCTTACATTACACTTGAAGAGTTCAGTTAATTAATTTGCCTTTCATTAACTTATTGACTGCCGATTTTAGCAAAACAAAAAAAATAAACACTTTCACAACTGTAACCCACACGCGTTTGGGCTCCGCATGCAGTTCTCGCACGCTCGAAACACGCGTCCGTAGACACTTTCTATGCAGTTTTTGGAGCACAAGCACTATGCACTATACAATAAATCACAATGTGCAATTGTAACAACCACTTTTAGTGGCCGTGATAAGTTTCGAATATACATAATTGGCATTTTAGTGAATCAATAAGCACCTCTCCATTTCGAGCACCAGTTGTACTACATATTAGACCATACCTATATATATATATACCTACGTAAAGTAATATTTAGCAACAAAATCGCCGATGTGATCACTGAACAGATGTGCGATGAGGGCGACATCATTGTTGCCCTGCAATGAAAAATTGTCAATTATTAAAAATAGCCAAGTTGTTGGCGGGATTTCGATAAATAGCTCACTTTTATTTAGCTACTTATTACAAAACCAACTTTAAGTTTCCATATAAAAATCCTCATACAAAAACTACTTTAAATATTTTTTTTTCTGCACTTCACAAATTCTTTTTCGAATTAGGGCAAACAAAATGAAGTTCGAAATTTTATATTATCATTTTGATGTTATGTCTGACGGAATTCCATTATAGGACCACCTACTGCAGAATATTTAAACAAAGCTGCAATGTTGAATATAAATTATAGAAAAAAATGAATAAATAAAAAATTTACAAAATGTTTTTTATTGATATTTTATGTCCAAAAGTAGTTAGTTGCAGAGGTATCCAGTTCTGACTTTTTTGCGGCCATCGCCCCACAACAGTAGTTAGCTTTTTTCGAATAAAATATACAGGTAATAGTTAGCGTAAACAGATTAAAGTTAGGTATAAGCTAACCTCACTCCCTGCAGGGTGGCTATACACCCAGTACGGATAGAAACTAGTTTAAATATTGATGTTCAACTAGTATTTTACCCACCATAACTAATTGAAATCTTACTTTCTTCCTTGGAACGAACTCTGCAATTGATTTTTCAACTACTTTAAAATGCATTTGGCTTAGAGCACTTCAGAGTCAGTATGTTTCCTTTGAATACGCTTTCATTCTGCACTTCACAGATGCTTTTTCATATTTCCAAGACACCAAAAAATTTTTATTATTATTTTCACACGTTGTCTCTGTTGAAATTCGAAGCCAGATCTTCTGGAAGCTAACCAGTAACAGCAGGCATATCTGCACCCCCAGCTACAGCCAGACATGTCCGACTCTGCATTTGATTTTAACTACTTTAAAATGCATTTGGCTTAAAGCACTTAAAAGTCAGTATGTTTCATTTGCAGATGTCTTTTCAACCAATTTGAAAGGTATCAAAAGTGTAAATTTGGTTTATCTCAATGCTACAAGGTGCTACATAAGCAGAAATAAATTTCTTTTCTGGGGTAATGCATGTACATATGTATGTGTGTACGAACATCCCTTTAAGAAATTCTTGCATTCCACCATGGATGACGAAAATATATCGCAGAATGAAAGAAATATTTGTTAGTTTTTTAACACATGGTGTCATTGGGAGGAGGTATTCCCTCTTGGCGGTTGTAGAAAGTGTAGGGAAACATCCAACAAAGCTGCTCATAAAATGAACGCCGAATCCTTCCAAGAATCTTCTTTAGAAATGAATATGTAGACTATTCGTAGAACTTCTTTTAGAATGAATACGAACTTCCTCCATTATGCAATTGATAAATCCGTGGACTTTTGATAAAACAACTTAAGTTAACTTAGAAGGGTTGACTTTGGATTAAAAAAAAACAGTAAGTTAGACTACAAAAAATTTATATTTTTATTAAGCTTCAATTGAAACAGTATCTTTATGTAAGTATGTATGTAAGTAGTTTTAAAACTAAATTTTTTTATTCTTATTTAGACTTGTGTCTACTCGTACATCTTTTCTTTTTAACAGGGTGTACAATTCCCAAAAACTAACGATACTTACTACCACGAGGTTCTTATTATGCGTTTGTAGTGCAAAACACTTCACAGCTAATGATGAAACAAATGTATAAATATATATTTCCACGATTTGATTTTTCTACGTTGGTGGCCACTTAAAACATTTCACTCAGCGATCATAGATCCATGCACTTCGAAATTGATATAATGAATAGAAGATTGCCAATCTAGAAATTTGCAAAAACAAAAAAGATAATACCTATTACGAGTATCGGAACATAAAAAATATATTTGTTTATGTACATATATATAAATGTGTATATTTTTGATTATTTTGTGTGTAAGCATATCCCTCTAGCAAAGTGAAAAATGCCTTTATGGCTTTCTTCGGACAGTTAATTTTGTTTTAAACATACGATGACATTAGTGGGAAAGGCTCCTCCTCGCTGTCCATGAAATGCAGGGGGAAACATTTTCCAAAAAATCCTTCAATAAACTTCCTCAAGCTTTCTTTGAGAATGAGAAAACATTGTATTCATAAGAATCGAAATGGAAACAATTTCGATTGAAAACTTCTGCTTTGTATCCATAAGCAACGAAGATGAATGTTGCTACATTACTTCCACATGGAAACTTTCCATATTTCGCCTGAGGGATAAGAGTGCATGCGAAAGTAAATGCGAAAGGTGCATTTATCATGCACGTAGACGTCACATTAAACTTTTGAAATATACTAGAAAAACCCCACTCTTGAAAATTACATTTGAAGAGTGTTGTTTATATTTGTATAAAAAAGCGCTCTATTAGGTTTGCCAAAATCACTTATAAATAGTATCTTATCATAGCTTTACTTATTAACATTACACAACAGCTTCTCCTTCAGCTTATTATTGTGGGAAATCAAGTTGCTATTTCGTGTATAAATAGAGTTTGAACAGAAAATTCGAGCATAGTGCAAAATTTAACTTCTAACGCGACAGTAATAACCCGCACAAACAATAGAGGCAATTAAAAATTAAAATTCTTTTAACGCGTAAAAATAAGAGACTGAAAACTCGCCAAAATGTGCTATAAAAGTGTTTTCTTTACATGTACTTTCCTTGCTTTGTGTCTACAACCGCTCCAAGTGATATCTTGCCAAAATGTTGAGCAACGGTTTAAGTTTCCTAATAGTGATATCTACTTACGTTTGGTCCACAACTCAAAACTGCAATATCAGGTTATGAAAGGTACATATTTACATATGAGCCATTCAGTTCGTTTTTTTATTCCACTTCGAATTATGTGAAGCACTTAAATCCCAAAATATTCTTTCACTTTTTTAGGTTCAAAAACACTTCAGACAGTTACCCTAGAAAACACGTCCACCAACAATAAATTGGAACAAACAGAAACTGGTTCTTTTACACTGAGTACAGGAGATGCCACAATTCAATTCGATTTGATTCCCAGCAGCACTGGTATCGTGCATGTCCGCGTCTCCCGCAATGTTCCTGCTGGCACGCAGCCTATTGATTGCTTCGATCTGGATGTCTCTAATGCACACTGGTATGGTGGTCCAGAATACAAGAATCATTATTGGCCAGTAGAGAAGCAAACATTGACCAATTTCTCGTATGTCACTAAAGAATTGGAGAACATGGGCGTAGCTGAGCGTTATTGGCTCAATACGAAAGGTGAATTCTTCTATGTCGAAGATAATACACCCCTCTTCGTCGAACAAAATTCCGAAGGCTATGAAAACAAGTTGTGCTTCAGTGCATTAAGTGCGCTACCGTTCAACTCACGCGTTGATAAAGTAACTTTTGTATATCACATTGGTATAGCATCAAATGCTAAGGATGCACATATGTATGTCGTAAAGAAATTCCTTGGCCATCCTTCTGAATATCCTGATGAGCGCATGGTTGCCCATCCGATCTGGTCCACATGGGCGCTTTATAAAAGAGATATCAATGAGTCTGTTGTGCGCGCATTCGGTGAAGAAATTTTGAGCAATGGTTTCAACAATAGCCAGCTGGAAATCGATGACGACTGGGAAGATTGCTATGGCGCATTGTCATATCGTAAAACTAAATTTCCTGACATGAAGCAGTTGACTGACGACTTGAAGTCGAAAGGTTTCCGTGTCACTTTGTGGATACATCCCTTCATCAATAAAAATTGCGAACCGATCTATAGTGATGCGTTAAATAAGGGGTAAGTCGCTTTGTACTGGTCTATTCACAGACTACTATTAGCATAGGATTACAATTTTAAACATTATACTTTGATTATGATAACATTTTAAACCCTTCGCGTTCTTCTAGTTACTTGATCCTTGATCATAATAATAATCCAGATACACAATGGTGGAATAGCGGTCCGAATGAAGCTGCTTATGTTGATTTTACCAAGGCTGAGGTGCGCACTTGGTTCAGCGATCGCCTGAAGAGTTTGCAGGAGGAAGGCGGTATTGACAGTTTCAAATTCGATGCCGGCGAGTCAAGTTGGATGCCCTCCGATCCTGTACTGCAGGGTGACTTGAGCCTATCACCTACACAAATGACGCGCGACTATGTGCGTACCGTAGGTGCCTTCGGTCCCATGGTGGAAGTGCGTTCCGGTCAAAATACACAGGATCTTCCAATTTTTGTGCGTATAGTAGATAAGGACTCCGAGTGGGGTTGGAACAATGGCTTGCTTACACTCATAACGACAATGTTGCAAATGAATTTGAATGGCTATCCATTCGTGTTGCCCGACATGATTGGCGGCAATGGCTATGACGATAAACCACCGAGTAAAGAACTATTTTTGCGCTGGTTGCAAGCAAATGTTTTCATGCCTAGCTTGCAGTTCTCGTACGTACCATGGAATTTCGATGAAGAAGCTATTGAGATAAGCAAGAAATTCGTGCAAATGCATGCTGATTACGCTCCTGAAATCATCAAGCGCTTCAAATTGGCAACGGAAACCGGCGAACCTGTGAATTTGCCACTCTGGTGGGTTGATCCAAGCGATAAAGTGGCGCAAGGCGTTTACGATCGTAAGTTCGTTTGCGATTGAATACAAATTTTCTTAATCTAAATCTATATCTATTGTTTTCTTTTTTAAGAATTTCTGCTCGGCGATGACATCATTTCTGCACCAGTCGTTGAGGAGGATGCTGTTGTTCGCGATATATATTTGCCTAAAGGAAATTGGAAAGATGGCAATACAGGCGTAGTGTACCAAGGCCCCAAATGGCTGATGGCATACAAAGCACCACTGGACACGCTGCCTTATTTTGTGCGCGAGCACAACTAATGTGTGATATAACTACATATCGTCCTGACCTGTAATACAAAAAGCTGTAACGAACCAATTCAATAAAGTGAGGAGTTGAAATTCGATGAAATGCGGCATTTTCATTAAAAAGAAGTGAATTTTAGTTTTATTGTCAGTTTTAGCCTTTTGCGTTTCAAAGGACGTTTGCACATACATATGTATGTATGTAGTTTAAAGATATAAGATTATATCATTTAAATCTTTTAAAATTAGAAATATGTGTAAGCAACGTTGTACAATTATTCATAAAATAAATATAAAAATTGTTAGTATACAAAATTTCGTCAATAAATGTGACAATCGTTTAATGTAAAAAACTATCCTATGCATTTACATATATAAAGTTTATAAAATAGTACCTACATAAAAATATCACAGTTCAATTTTGTTTAGTTGATACAACAAATATCTAAAAGCCAAATAGTAACTGAATATTGGCTAGTCGGCATTTAACTCGTCATCTGACGCAGACTCTGATGAATCATACAGTAAATTCTTTATATACTTCAATTCGTTACGATCACTGTTCAAGGCCTCTTGTTCCTCTTCGAGAATTTCCTCCAAGCAAATACTTAAAAAAAAATTAAATATTCAAGCACAAACCGAATTTAAGCTGCAATCGATGCTAAACTCACTCAATATTTTCATCCTTTTTCTCTTCCATTGCTTTCCCTTGTTGTTTCAATAAATGCAGTTTTAACTTGTGCAACTCTTTTGTTGATTTTGACCACTGTACTTTATAGAAGTTCTTGGCTTTTTCGATATCTGCAAAACGTTCTGTTTGTTTGTGCTGTACGAAATAAATTATTTTACCTGAATGCTTATATCCAAACTAGACAAAAAATAAAAGAATATTACATGCCAAACAGCTTACCAAATCAGCCAACATGCACGCCAGTTGCTCGGCGGAGAAATGTGTCTTCTCCATATCCGCCAATTGCTTTTCCAACTGTTCGATTCGCATCTTCATTTGTAGCTTCTCGTCTAACTCTAAGTCATTGGCTTCCGCCGCTTGTGTCTGCTGCTGTGTTTGTTCTACATCGCGTTCTGCGCTTTCTGTCGCCCGCTGCTGTATTTCATGTTTAAGGCGTTGCATCTCGTCATCTAACTGCTGAAATTTCTCCGCATAACTTCGTTCTATGTCTTGCTTCACGGTCTGCACTATACTAATAGTCTCTTGATGTTTAAGAGCATTCGCATTTAATTCCGCATGGGCCAGTTCAAGCTTCGCATTCAGTTTTTCGCATTCGGACAACTTTGCTTCTAATCTAGCTTGCAAAATTGAACGTTGTTGCTCCCATTGTTTATCGAGCTCAGCCAAGTAGCCGATTTCTTTTTGCTCCAAACCTCGAATGAAGTGTTCCATCTGCTGTGCCTTCCAATCTTCCAGCTCTTGAACTATTTTTATTGTCATCTCCTCGGGATCTATATCCAATGGGTCGGTATTTACTCCGACGGATCGAGTCTCTTTGCTTGACAGTTCATCATTTAAAACACTTCCTTTCGAATGGAAAACCTGCTTATCGTAACAGGTGACAACGTTTGCCTTGCTTTGACGACTTGTTAAGGAATCTTTGCTATCATCCTTGCCCGTGATCGAACACTTTGAAAGATCTTCTGATGGTCGACCAAATAATTCCCCATTTTGTTCCAAGACGTGTCCAATTATAACAGCGTCGGCCTGCATTTTCATATAATTACGTTCATAAATTTCATAGTTACTGAAATTACGATTGCTTATTTGGCCAACATCATAAGGGGCACGCATTTGTTGCATTGTAGTGGGGAAATCCAAGTTTCGATAGCGTTCTGTTATATCGACAGAACCCTTATCGTCGATCTTATACGATGCATATGCCTCACTCATCGGCACTAGCTCGTAACTGGACTTTTTGGAGTAGCTTGTTACGAGTTGCACACAAAATATAAAATCCACCGAAGGCTTTGTAGCACGCGGGCTTATTATCTTATTTATGCGATCGAAATAAAATGTACCATTTTTACTAAAAACATTAGTCGCGTTGAAAAATGAATCGTCGGGTAAGAGCCTTGAGAAATCCAATCGATAATTTGCTATGTAACAAGGAAAGAAAAAATAAATTAGTAATTATTCAGTCGGTTGCTTATTCCGAAAACGATAAATAAACATATTCATATACATATATATGTATTTTTTAACCACACAAATTAACTAAGAAACCCGACAACCCTAACGGCCTTGTCCCTGTGGACAAACCCCACAGAAGCTGCACGCTTCCTAGGGTTGCCGTTAGTGGAACTTGACGACAACGACTGAGATACCAACCGATCTGGGCGGGGTTGTTGTAGCCGCTACAACAACAACAACAACTAAGATTTCCAGAAGTTCATAGATATATGTATATCGTCGTTTAAAGTACAAAGTCATTCTGCAAAACCGCGTTTGCTGGCAAAAATTGGATTTGCTCACCAAGCTCTTGGCTCAATCCTTATCCATTCGTCCTGAAATATACTAGCCAGAAATGCGATTGCTTTATAAAAAAGAGAACTATTTTGAAATATGAGTGCTTTTACTCTCTAGAAAATGATTTATGCAACCTCACTTACGCGGTTTTGCATTTTGTTGATACGCGGTTGTGTACTTTAAGCATACATATCTACATACACACATACAGCAAAAATAAAAAGATATCCTTTTATTCTTTAATATTTTCCGTTTTTTTCACTCCCTCCAATCATTTTCATTTTTAACCGACTCCACAAAAAGGAAAAGGTTATCATAACTTTGGACCACGTCAACCAATTGCGATAATTCTTTTTTAAAGAAAGTGTATTATCTTAGACGTGGAGGTTTAACTCCGATTATTGGATGATGAAGAAATTAACGATAATCTTAAATTTGAAATCGGTTTTGTTTTTTGCTTAAAAATTAATTGGTATTATAGACGATTTAACTTGATTCGTAAAAAACGGACTCACCCACCACAGCGCCATTTATATAAACACTTATTGGTATATAAAAAATTCGTTGAAAATAAGTGCGTAAGCTCTTCAAGGACGACTTGAAGCTAAGGGATATTTTTTCATTGATGGTGTAGCAATCAGACTGATTCACGACCATTTCTAGTTGAGAAGCACTTCCCAGGAAGTCATAGTGAAAAACAAACACATTAGTTTTGCGGTTGTAGCTCTGTTCCATCTCCAATACCATCATTAGATTCTTCACTTGTTTAAAAGTTAATGACACGTTGAAGATGTCGCAATCAACGTCAGGGTTGTTGCCCACTTGTATGAGACCCACTTGTTCCAAAAGCTGTACATATACATTACTTTGCGATTGCAACATAAGTGATGTCTCGGAGGACTTTGGAGAAAGTCCATCATTTAGCACGCATTTCTTCTGCAACAAAAAACTTTAATTATTAAGTATTTGTTGAATATTCAACATTTAGATTTACTTTGCCCATTAATACGTCAAATTGCCCATTTTCAAGAAGATTCTTTTTGACTATCACCAGAAGTAAATAAATTTCTGGTTTATTTTGCCGCCATTCCGAACTCATCACATTAAGTTTATGCCAATGTAGCTTTAACTAAATAAATGTATAAAAAGTGCGTTGTTATGATTGAGTGAATTAATATCCTTACTTGTAGATTTTTTAAAGCCGCGACTACTGGAACTCCTCTAATAGGAAGTAACAAAGAACCAATGCCGCGACGAGGGGAAGTTTCCGTTCGACCACTCTTGATAAATATCTCAACTTTCACTGGCCGATTGTCGGTTTTCATACTACATACAATACAACCTTCAATAAAATGCCAACACTAATCTTTAATAAACATACCGTTTAATATCACTCAATTCGCATTCCCAAACGCAATTGCTGTTGAAGATGGTCACAGTCTCCGTGGAGTGACCTTCCACCTCGAACTTTACACCATTTAGCGTTGCTGTAAGGATAACCTTATCCTTGTGACGCTCGGCAAAATCGCCAATACCATCACGTCGATGCAAACCAATGCCTTACAAGAGATGAAATATACATATATCTGAGGATTAAAACAACTTCCACTTTTTGTGTTGACTAAACCCACCTTCGACCAAATGCAAAAATATGCAAAATGAATTGTCGGCGCATTCTGAAGCATCACTCTCGGAAGCCGATAAGGCCGGGTTACTCATTGCATGCACGTACTATATTTGCAATTATTATCTTGCACGTTATAATTAATAAAAATATAATGAAATATCCAACAAAATACGACTGAATCACAAAGATATAACGAATTTTTCGAATTTCTCACTTGGCAATAGAATGAGTTAATTCTTCTTTTTAAGTAAGGGTGTATTCACCATTACTTTTTTCAGTGTTGTAAAGCATTTGAAGACGGGAATTAGCATAACCGATGGCAATGAATTTTTCACAAAATATGCGATCAAGTTGAGAGGACCCAAAAAGTCGGAAATCAATTTCATACTTTCATCAAGTCTGAATGATATTTAAACTTTTATTTATATACCAATACATAATAATTGTACATAGTTAATTTATGTTCAGAATAAATTTAAATATTTAGTAGCTGCATTTTTTTTGTAAGCGAGCGAAAAAAGAACGCTCAACTCAGATAAAATTTTCTTTTAGGTACCTACTTATGCAACTCTGTTGGTAGCTGGTAAGAAACATGTAATTAGTTTAACGGGATTTAAATACAAAAACCTATTTAAATGGGTAATTATGAGGTATTTGCGTAATATATATTCGCCACCCTCTCCACTTTCCCATTAACAATTCACAAAGATCAATTTTTTCCATGAACGAAAGACACAAGACCACGCGGGAAGGAAAGAACGAAAAAAGTTATTTTCTAGCTGCCGAAATCGCGACGCCATCTTTGTTGTAAGAAGTAAACAATGAATTTTTCACTTAACACTACGCTTCAGGTCGCGGATTTTTTAACCGACCTGTGTGGCTATTCTCCATCTAGAGAATTTGCATGATTCCACTTTCACAGGCGAATAGTTGAATCAAAAGTTGAACGAAAGTAGGCAGCCGACCAGCTTAATTTAAAGCGATTAGTTTAAAGGCCGTTTACACCAGGCGATTGTTGCTTTCAACTAAAAGTTGCCTGAAAAATCGCCTCATGTGAATTCCCTATTAGCGACAGTTTTCGAATCGCTATCGCAAGTTGCCGACGTGTGTTATGAATGCCGCAGGGTTGAGATAGCAATACGATATTTGTCGCTAACTCCTTTGAGAATAGCTCCACTGGCTGAGCTCGGATAAATAGCCGAGTTTGTGTTGTTGCTTTGCGTGTATTTCGTCATT